CACAAAAAATCTAATGCTATGCCATGGTGTGTAGTCATTAATTTTGATTAATAGACACTCATTAAAATGAACTTAGTGACATACATTCCGAGATAGTGTGAAGGTAAGGTGAGAACATAAGTATGTGACCATTAAAGCCTACCCAAGGTTAATATGTTTTGTATCTACAATATGTGCCTACTATAATCTAGGGAAAATCATCATTATAGAATTATAAGCATCTTCTGCATACTGAGAGAGATAGGGGACATATAAGACTTCTAATGCCAACCTCATACCTAGAAATTAATGAGAAGGACATTCAACATATGCATATGCTTGAGTCCACTTACAAACCCCTGGTTTTATTTAAGAAGTTTAACAATAGAAACACTGACATTTCTGCTTTATGACTTTATATTGGTGTTCAGATCAGTAATATCAGTAATTAACTTTTCCAGTTTGAAATTCCCTTTTCTGTATATATGTATAAAAGTATTAGGTAATGTGATATGTAAAAGACAGTATTTTACATGGATAATGTAATCTTTGACGTTTGACGTTTTTAAAGCTTTTACCACTCATCAGTTTAGTGTTATCAGTGATTGATAGCCCTACAATTATTCATCTCATTCCGACGTTCGCGGCGATATGTAACATGTGCGGCGTAATGGGCGAAATCGTCGTTTTCACACGTATGCGCACCCGACGCCTGTTTGCATGCATGTATGTATGGGGGGACTTTAAAAAAAATTTAATTATTTTGTATTTGTAACTTTACAATTTTGGGGGGGAAACTTTATTGCTATCACATAGGGGGGTTAGAAAACCCCCTTATGTGATAGCAAAATATGTGACAGGTCCTCTTTATGGAGACATCAGGGGTCTCCAAGACCCCTAATGTCACCTAGGACCCCCCTGAAGAAGCTGATGAAGCAAAGATCTGCTTCATCAGCTTCTCTCCAGCATCTGAAGCTGGAGAGTGACACAAGAATGCGGAAGTGATGTAATATACATCAGTTCCGCATTCTGACAGCGGAGAGGGCACCGGAGGGAGCTCGTGTACCGAGCTCCCTCTGATCCCCTGTGAAAGAGGCCATATGCTGGTCCCGGGCTCACACTGGGCACAGCGGAGCCCGGGACCAGCTTGACAGCAGGAGGCGGGGAGACGGGGAGGGCGCAATTCACTCGACCTCATACAAGCGATCCGCCGGCTCTATAGCTGGCAGATCGCTTGTATGTTAACAGGCATCGCTGCCTGTTTTCAAATAACGGGCATTTCCCGCTCGCGAGTGCCCAGCGGTGCGCGCGAGGGGACGTGGCTGAGCGGACATCTAAAGACGCCCGCTCAGATCTAGAGAGCTCCTGGCCGGGCCGGCCGGGAAGTGGTTAAAATAATTTTTTTAAATGGGCCCCTTTTGCAGCACTTACTTTTGCACAATATTCTAATTATTCGAGTTTCACCTGTATATCACATCAAAAAAACCCTGCCTTGTCCTTTAAAACATTGTATATAATATGTGTAGGTATAATGCATGAGGAAGATGGAAATTATGGTTAAACACATAGCAACAATGGCAATATTGCTCTGGTCCCCAGGAATGAAAACATTTTCTAAAGAATGGCTTCGGAAACCGTACACCTACGTAAGGAAATTACGTGAAAGATCTATGGCTACCAGTTACAACATACATGGACAAATATTGGATATTGGACCTAATGTAGATGTAAATAATTGTTCTGTGCTAAGCTTGTTGACATAATTCCTACACGGGATTACTGGGCAAGCAGGAAGCTGTTATATATACCATATTTATTTTGAAAATATTAAAAATAACTTTTTTATACCATTTGAAACACTTATA